ACAACCAAGTCGAGGCGAGTCAGCTTCATCGTGTTCACAAAACCTAGACACTATAGGGCGCATTATTTTCGATGGGCTAATTTGCTATTTACTGAATTACTATTACATATCGCTGTAGGTAAACAAATAAATGAATTTATTTCACAGTACCTAGCCATACAATATTTATTTTTGATGTTTTTAACTGTTACCAATGGTAACAATGGTTAGATGGAAGCTTCTCCACTGAAATTATACAGTGTAGGTGTATAGTGCCATAAAGTGATGTCGGGATCACCTCTCAGACTTCTGACATCAAAAAGAGTGCATGTGTTACTAGGAAAACTTGCTTATCATTGCCTGACCTATACGCTTTGTACGTCCAAACTTTGAGCTTGACCTCCTAGCCTACAGGGTGAAAATCCGGGTATAACACCAATCTACTATAGCTTACAGTTTTCATCATTGTATCAGTACCTAGCAGGTCTACATTGACCATCAAACACCCAATATTTGCCCCTGTCAAAATACATCGAATTTGAGTACACAATACAAAGAGTCCCCAATTCTATTGTTAGTCCCATGTAAATTCCAACGGGCAAACAAACGAGAACAGAGGAGAAGAATAGCGATTGGGATGCCATCTTTACCTTTCGTCGATTCTGCGATTGTTGGAGTAATTCAAGTAGAATCTTTTTGGGGTGATATAAATATAAGCAAAGTATAGAGGAAGCGAACAATAGCTTAACCCCCTGTCTATCAAAATAGATTTTCCTTCGTGTTCCACAAGATATCCAATTCAATGGAAAGCTTTTTATCAATCAAAGCGAGAATATACCCTGTTACGCCCCCAACCACTTATAGTAGTTGTTGTACAACCAGCTACTAGCTTCTTCTGCAGCAAATATGCTGAACAACATTTTATTTGCAAAATATAGCGCTAATTACGACAAACTTTTTTGACATTAATGACTTATTATTTTATATTGCCAAACAAATGATACATTCTATTTTGAAATACCATTTTAGCCATACAGAAATTTTATTTTGCACAAGCCATTACTCGAAGCTTCGTACTTTTGAAACCGTTACTAACAAAAACACTGTTTTTAATTAATGATAAGAATTCACGTTTTGTGAATTGTGCAAGAATATAAACCCAACTCAGTTTGCACATGTGGCCTCATTTTGGCTGGTTCATGCATTGGAACCCGAAAATTGATTCTTTAGTAGAAGAGTAGAGTCTGATTTTATTACTTCGTAGGGAATAACCGCGATCTCATTTTACAACATGGCTAACTAGAAGTAATTCGTGCTATTTAGGCTGAAGGTCATGCTTAAAGTGTTTTTTCTTCTTTGAGAATTCGCGCGACCATGAGTAACTCAGCTTGTTTTGTCAACAGCCAATCTCGTTTCTTTTATAGCCAGTGTTTTTACACTTTTCTTTTCACTTCATTGAAATTCAACAATAACAAAACGGGTAAGAACGACAAACTGAAAGACATTTTTCATTGACAGATGACAAAACGGGGCACGAAATGACAAATGTTTTATGTTCTTTTGGGGGCAAGATGAATTGGGGCAGAGTGTTTTAAACACGGAAACTGTTCCAGTTTTATCAAAAAGTTATAAAGAGGATTTCTTAGGGTCAACTGTATACCATTACTCCTGTCTACTTTTGACAGTTTGACCTCCAACCACATCATGCATACCATTCTATGTGAACGTCCGAATATAATATATGCGTGTATTTTTGGAGAATATGTTAGTTAAAGCTGGTACGCATATGCAAAAGATCGGACTCCTCGTTAAATGGAACTATTTATATTATACAGGGTGCGACAGAGAGGATGGACGGTTTTAAAAAAATCATAAAATAGTTAATTTTTACTCGAAAACAAATTTATTGATGGAATCAGGTTCACAAGGAAATAGCATTTGAGACAGTCAAGTGTGGAAAATTACATCAGGCATGTGGTGGCCGAAATCGTTGATGCAGTGCTGGAGGCGTTCTTGGAAGTTCGCGTAGACTCTCTCCAACATCGCTCTCTCAACTTGGGCGACTTCCACGCGAATTTCGCGCTTCAATTCGTCCAGATTTCGGGGCTTGTTTGCGTATACTCTAGCCTTGAGATGTCCCCATAAGAAAAAATCGCATATGGATAAATCTGGGGACCGAGGAGGCCAATGAACATCGCCAAACCTGGACATAAGGCGATCAGGGAAGAGAGGGCGAATAACGTCCATGGATTCTCGGGCTGTGTGGGCGGTCGCCCCATCCTTCTGGAACCACACACGTCGGATTGGAACACGTCGCCGTCGTAATTCAGGGAGAAAGAAGTTGGTGATCATGTCGACGTAACGCTCTGAGTTCACGATAACATCACGACCATTACCGTCTTCGAAGAAGTCAGGGCCAATGATGCAAGTTTGCGATACAGCGCACCAAACCGTTACTTTTGGGCTGTGCAGCGGTCTTTCGTGTAACTGTTGCGGATTTTCATTAGCCCAATAACGACAATTCTGCTGGTTAACCATGCTGTTTAGGTGAAAGTGGGCTTCGTCACTCATAAACAAAATGAGGTTCTCATTTTGATCGATCAGTGCTTCTATATCACGTGCGAAGTTCATTCGTTGTGCATAATCTCCGGGCTGCAACTGTTGCACAATGGCCAATTTGTAGGGGTGAAAGCGGAGATCCATATGCAAAATTCGCCTTACCGAACGATCACTAAGGCAAAGTGCAGCAGCATGTATCCGGGCAGATCGAGTCGGACTGCGAAGAAAGACCTGCCGAACGCGTTCAACATTTTCAGGAGTTCGAACTGTTCGGGGCGCTCCTCTTGGTCTTCTGTTGATCAGTTCACCACGCCTGCGAAGTGCTTCAACCAAACGAAGGATGGTGTTTCGAGAGGGAACAGCTCTATTCCGATGAATGTTGAAGTGGCGACGAAACTCACGCTGTACGACGATGACTGACTCATTATTTCTGACGAAACAATCATAGGCGAAAACCATCCAAGGCTCCATAACGACAAATGGTAAAATAATGCTAGGATCTCACGAGTCAAACGGCATCCTCCCCACCTCTCTCGTAGACGGAGGCGGAGCGTACTACCCATCCCAAAAACGTCCGTCCTCTCTGCCGCACCCTGTATATTGGATTGACTGTCTGACTGGCGATTTGGCTACCTTGGGCTCTTTTGATGTACAATTAAAAAATGCAAAACGTGCAAAATTGTCGGCGTGGAAACCACAGGATAAGTTTCAGATGTTCTTTTGACCACATAAAAGGTTTTCTAGCTTGTGACTTTAGTTTTCATTGTCTGTATACTTTGATATAACGCTGTTCGAGCAGACGGGAAACAAATTCCTCCCCTTCAACTTTTATTTCTGTTCATTCTTTTACGGGATTCTATATTGGGTGAATCGCGATATACGATAATGCAATAGGTTGTTGTATTATCGGAGAACTGAAATGCGAATGGCACTGTGCATGGGAGCATCGTATTGCAGATTCATGACTTTTCGAGAACAAAGTGAAATTTCAAAAGCGAAAGAGTTACTTTGTTTCTGCCTTCACATATGATATAACTTACTTGCCATCATACACTGAAGAGCCCGGAAGGGTGCAAAAGTCTATACGCTAAAAGTCCCTGGGGTGGTAGAAATCAGAAAGTGTTGTGGGGAAGAAACGTTAGTTAATGCTGATGAAAGGCGGACGAGAAACGCGTAAAGACATCTTGATAGCTGGCAAGCAAAGCAGTTGGGGATTAGCTTAAAAACGAAAGCAAAGCTCCAAAGGGCTTAGATAAGCATTCATCGTTAGCAAGAGTGCGCCCTTCTGATGTACGGATTAGGTTTGGGTTTTTGAATTGAGCCTTAATTACTTTGATTCGTTGGTAGCAGCTCATCGCTTTTGAATCTCATTTCCCGGAGTCAGATAACAAACGAGTCTTTGAAATCTTTTGATTTCATCGGTTACAGATAATGGCAACTTAATATGTACTCTATTATAAGCTTTTGATGTTCTTCTATCAAAAATGTTCATTTTTACAAACGTACGATGCTTAGTCAAATGGGGTAATTTGGGACGTTAATCTTGAACATGGGTTTTGAAGAATGTCACGTGGTATTCAGAGTACAAAAATGGAACACCTGCGATCTCAGCTAAAAATTGATATTAAATTCGTGAACTACGCATTCGATCAACACAAAATATTGCTTTTTGTAAATATTTCAAATATCCAATATTTTCCTTAATAGTGTCCCATTTTTCTTAAAACATATTTTCGTTCACGTCTTTGGTTTTACAAGCAATTGAGACTGGATGTCGAATGCGACCATCACAAATAAATAATACTGAAGTGATATATAAATCCGAACACCCAGTTTAAATGGTTTTATTTTAATAAAAGTTGGTGAATGTATTTATCTTACTGTAAATAACAAGTGAAAAAATGTTCAGCCTTATCAGTTGGACTATAATCTTTAATTCACTAACGCTCTAAAAATGAATATTTCAGCCGCAGTAAAGAATCAACGTTGGCGGATTTTGGTTCTTGACATCCTTTACGATCGGTTACGATGCCTAGAGTACGGAGACCTGTACGATTTCGTCAACTTAGTGAGTTTGATAGGGGCCGTATAGTGGGACTTCGGGAAGCTGGACTTTCTTTTCGGGCAATTGCAGTTAGAGTGCAAAGAAGTGTAGACACTGTGGTTAGGTGTTGTCAGGCATGGCTTCGAGAAGGCCGTACGCAAAGAGCAAGGGACACTGGACGCCGCCGTAGAACAACAGACCGTGAAGATCGCCGCCTAAGATTATTGGCCTTAAGGGACCGTTTCTCCACTACCAGGTCCATTGCAAATGAATGGTTTGCAGAACACGGAAGACCTATTGGCATGCGAAGTGTTTACCGACGAATGAGAAGTTTTGGCTTGTATTCATACCGGCCACACTGGGTCCTCCCTTTAACTCGAGAACACCGACGTAATCGCCTTGAGTGGTGCAGACAACTGTCACTCTGGGATCAGGAATGGAACAGTATTGTCTTTAGTGACGAGTCTCGATTTTGTTTAGGCATGCACGATGGTCGTGCCAGGGTTAGAAGGCGACGTAGTGAAAGGAGGAATCCACAGATTTTGTTGAAAGACATGTTCATCACACTGTTGGAGTTATGGTTTGGGGTGCTATAGCTTACGGTTCCAGGTCACCTTTAATCTTCATCAGAGGTAACATGAACGCACAGCGTTATATCCACGAAGTTCTAGAACCCCATCTTTTACCCTATCTTGACACCCTGGCAGATCCAACTTTCCAACAAGATAATGCCCGACCACATGTTGCAAGAGTCGCAATAGAGTTCTTTCAACATAATGATGTCACATTGTTACCATGACCACCAAGATCTCCCGACTTATCCCCAATTGAGCACGTGTGGGATATGATGGGTAGGAGATTGCTCAATTTGCAACGTTCTCCTCAGACTCTAGAAGCACTTCGAGAGGAGTTGGTGGTTGCCTGGAATGAGATACCACAGGAGGACATTGACCACCTGATCAGAAGCATGCCTAGGCGCGTTGGAGAATGCGTAGCACATCAGGGTGCATCCACACATTATTAAAGGTCAAAGGGCTTTAAAGCAGTGCAATCATTTTGAAATTTTTATCATTTACTTATTATGCTTCATTAAGTACTTATACAAAATTTTATTAAAATAATACCATTTAAACTGGGTGTTCGGATTTATATGTCACTTAGTATACCTCAGAACACTATTTGGAAAAAATGCTCTTTTGATCAAAGAAGAAACTGAGTTCAGATTCATGATGGTGTACTGTATTTATCAGGGTTTTTGTCAATGTTGTTGTCATCTAACATCGTCAGAAATCGACAAAACAAAACAACCGAGTTAGTGAAAAGCGAATCAAATGCGAAAAGGAAAGACAAAGAAAGAACCGCAACCAAAAAGATTACCAAACGAAATACTAAAATCAAACAACTCAGAAAAAGAAAACCGTCTACCACTGAAACCGAATCCGACTCATCGCTAGATCTCCACTTGCAAGATGATGATGATGATGTGGACGATGAAGACAGTTGTTGCGTAGGGTGTGGTGAACTGTGCAGTTGCACGAAAATGGACGTGGACTGGATCAAAAGTATTAGCTGTCAACGATGGCTGTACGAAGACTGTCCAAAATACGAATCCACGTGATGTATGTGGTAAAAATCGAAAAAAGTAAACTCACCAATTCACCCAATATGCATTCACCATTTCACCCATATGCCTGGATGAAACGGCGAATTTATTAAAAATAATTAATGTGTTTTTTACTTTAGTAATGCGTTAAAGAGGATATGATACTGTTATGTTGGTGCCATCATATTCCGTGGAAAGTAACTGACTTTATTTTGCTTAAATATACGTTTTCTTTTGTTTTACATGGCTCAATTTTTTTTTGTTCACCATATCACCCTATACGTTATTCGCAATGCGGGCGCGATGGTGATTTCCCGTAATTCTCCTCAAAGTTTTTGAAAGCACAAAAAAGTGGAAAACGAACTTTAAAAGTAACCTGTCTTTAGAAAGTAATGATTTTCTCACACAGCAAATGTCACTGATTCTATACGCATAATCATCCAGAGGCGATATTGCTGTACAACCATCTTTCGTCTCAGAGATAAAAACTACAGACTACTCGGCTTCACAAGACGTATGCAACCAACAATGCGTGTAGTTGAGTCACTCCTCCATAGATGGACGCTCACAACGATCCTAGTGAGCAAACGAAAAATCATTGTTTGCACCCTAAAAACTACCTAGTCTGCAAGATGACATTTCATGTTTTTTTTTACGTTTTATAGGTATTTTACATAATACCCGTGCCGGACTGTATGTGTACACTCTTTCACTTCTCATTTATTCCCATTTCTATACTTCCAACCGCCGAAACGTAAACAGAGCGATACAGCAACGTAATTAATTTACTGATACCGGCGCTTCGTATGCTACAATACACATAAAGTCTAAAATAATTCCTCCTGCAGATATATCCATCCACACGTACCCATCCCTAGTGTGCTGGTATCAACGATAAGGTCATTTTATCCTTCCTTCGCATACGTACGGAGGCATTACTCAGACCGTATAATCCTCTCTGAAAACAACAATATAAGCGATTAAAACGACGAAACAGAATAAAGCCGTACAGAGCCAGCATTGGTCGTTCCTGGGTATCTCAGTTTCATCTGTTTACAGCGCATAACATCGTGAAGCAGGAGCGTCGGGCATGTGTAAGGGCTACGCTAACTGTGTATTAAGAATGACTAGAATTGCCAATAATTGTGGTATTGGAGGAGAACTCTTGTTCGCACGTGCTATACCAAGATCGTAAGTTAAATTTAAGTGTACTGACATTAGACGCAATATCCAAGTCATATTAGCAATCATAGTGTTTATGCGTCCACTATTTCAATTACTAGCCTTTGAGTGCAGGAACTGGAGTTGCAGCGAAAAAATATCATCAACACGGCATTAGCTTTCAGAAACTATAAGTAGTGTAGAATTTATTATTCTTTTTAAATATCTTAGACTTTTTGGTTGCATTTGCATGATTTGTGCAACAGAAGACTCTCTGATTCAAGAGTTAGCTTAATTACTGTTAGTCCGTTTGTGTCGAGTAGATCAACTCTGCATCCAGGGATTTATATCTCTATAATTTTGGTTTAAGTGTTTCTCAGCAACCTTTTCTTTCAATTAGTCCCTTCTATAAGTTTACTTATTTCACTCTTGGCAGTTCCTGTACTCATAGCATAATCTACTTCTTCGATCATATCTTGCAAACGTAATTATATTATTGGTTAATGATGAAAATGTATAGCAATGTTTGTCTGTTAATATCTTTCTTAATTTAAATCTCTTGAAGCTTAGAGCTTAGGTCGATAATTTGTTTAATCGGTAACTCTAGATGTTACACCTCATGATAATATGTGAATCAAGACCGTTAGTGACAGTTTTCAGAATCGTTGTTAACACATGAATTTAATATACGCTTTAAGAGCTCCAAGGCTTAATTTCACAGTTGCGAATGTTTTAGTCTCAAAATTCAATCACGACTTCCTATACCTCATGTATAGCTGTATATATAATTAATTTAATTGAAACTACTCTACCTAACTGTATTATTTCTTTGCCACTAACTATATATAAAATCGTCTGCAATGCCTTGAAATTCCTCGCTGAAAGTTTGTAGTTGTTGCACGCTTACATCTAGGGGAGTTCCGACCACCTCCGGAATTCTTCTGTTATTTTAAAAATCTTAATGAATATAGCATCGAACAAAATATCTGAATTGATTTTTAACCTATCCGTCTCCAAGAGATAAACAATAATTCTTTTTAGGTTGTAGATATTTGGTGCACAAATTAGAAAAATGCAGATTATATACTTTGCCTGTACACCTGGGTAAGTCATATACAATCGTCGTACAGTTTTTTTAATAACACCTAAAATATAGATTTTTGAGAGCTAAATTTTTATACAAGAAGAGACTGGAAAACAAGCACCGGTAGCGTAAATTTCAGTCGCTTTTAGAGAATGACAATTTTGCATGGATTAGTTAAGGTCTTATTACTGATATTTGCGGCCGAGTTCCCTGATTTGTTTTCTTTTCATATTTATATATCCTCTGCAATATTTAAATAACAAAAACGACCTAGAATTATAAGTTCAATATTCATTTCACAAAATCAATATTATCCTTAGAAAATAACAATTTATCTGGTAGCCAAATATTAAACATCTACATAATAGAAGAGAACAAGGCGTACAACTGTAACTCCTGCCTGCATTGCCGGAGGATTGATCAAACTTTTTGTTCAAGAAAGGACCCAAGCTATGGATCCGAAATATTCTCAGACAAAATATATATAACATAATATATGTTATGTGTAATGATTGCATTTGTCTCATGAAGTGTTGAAACTGTAGCTATGATGTCCGTATATATACTTTGCTTTTTCTCTTATTCTGCACATTTTCACTGATATCGAATTTTATTAATATTATTTATTATTAGAAAGTCGCTTGTTTGTATCATAGATTATTCCATTAACCGATTATGGATAATTATACCGAATTCATAAGCTTGTATTTATCATACATTTTCACTTCCCACTGACGAAAATGTATTGTTTCCCGAAAAATTTCATAAAGGAGGTATGTTTTTTTGGATATCATATCAAATCTGCACACCAAGAAAAACGGTCAGTCTGTCTGCTAATAATTCTTGGCCCGTCTATAGCTTGCCAGGTGCTGCTCGGACTTTTTCGCAAGGTTTTTACTGTGTCAGACAAAGTTTTTAGTTTTTGGAAATTGGTCCGGTGGCAGCAGAAAAACAGATATCTCTCGTTTTTGACCTTTTCAGGCTTCTTATCGAATAGTTTTTATATCGATCAACTATTTCATGTGACTCCTTTTATATACGCCTTACTCGTAGTCATTTAATTATTACTAAATTAGGGTTTTCGTAAGTTATCATAAAGTTTCACCTGCGTCTCTCTCTCTCTAACAGGTTGACAAACATCCCAAGAAATTTATATATTATTCCAATATGGTCAAGTATACTAAGTGACATATAAATCCGAACACCCAATTTAAATGGTTTTATTTTAATAAAAGTTGGTGAATGTATTTATCTTACTGTAAATAACAAGTGAAAAAAAATTCAGCCTTATCAGTTGGACATTCCGGTTTTTATACTGCTCTAAAAATGAAAATTTCAGCCGCAGTAAAGAATCAACGTTGGCGGATTTTGGTTCTTGACATCCTTTACGATCGGTTACGATGCCTAGAGTACGGAGACCTGTACGATTTCGTCAACTTAGTGAACTCGAGAACACCGACGTAATCGCCTTGAGTGGTGCAGACAACGGTCACTCTGGGATCAGGAATGGAACAGTATTGTCTTTAGTGACGAGTCTCGATTTTGTTTAGGCATGCACGATGGTCGTGCCAGGGTTAGAAGGCGACCTGGTGAAAGGAGGAATTCACAGTTTTTTGTTGAAAGACATGTTCATTGGGGGGGGGGGGGTTTGGGGTGCTATAGCTTATGGTTCCAGGTCACCTTTAATCTTCATCAGAGGTAACATGAACGCGCAGCGTTATATCCACGAAGTTCTAGAACCCCATCTTTTTCCCTATCTTGATACCCTGGCAGATCCAACTTTCCAACAAGATAATGCCCGACCACATGTTGCAAGAGTCACAATAGACTTCTTTCAACATAATGATGTCACATTGTTACCATGGCCACCAAGATCTCCCGACTTATCCCCAATTGAACACGTGTGGGATATGATGGGTAGGAGATTGCTCAATTTGCAACGTCCTCCTCAGACTCTAGAAGCACTTCGAGAGGAGTTTATTAAAGGTCAAAGGGCTTTAAAGCAGTGCAATCATTTTGAAATTTTTATCATTTACTTATTATGCTTCATTAAGTACTTATACAAAATTTTATTAAAATAAAACCATTTAAACTGGGTGTTCGGATTTATATGTCACTTAGTATAGTTAAGGTTACCAGCGCTCAAAATTACTTGTTCACCCCAGCAGTCATGTAGCTCATGCGTTCAACGCTCTTATTAATTTGTTTTAAGTAGCGATCCGTATTTAGGTTTTGGCGTCACAGTTGCCCAGTATATTCAAATAACAACGCACGCCACTGATCTGTATGCACATTCCCGAATGTAATATCTCCCAGCAGAGAAGCGACCACGGTCCGTAGAGTAAAAAATTAATGGTCATCCTAAAGGATAATCCCGATGAGATTGTATTGTATATAATCCCAAACATATGAGACGAGCGACTTGAATATTGAGTAAACCTCAGTCTGGCGCAGCACATGTCTATTTACTTGCCAGAGCTGGACTGAGGGATACTGAGCTTTATCATGAGGATTCGTAACACGAATGGAGAGATAATAGTTATTCAAAACGTCACACATTGTCTCAATCATTGGTAGATACACCAGTTGAACTAAATGAAACCGCTTACCGTATCTAAATTAACATTCTAATATACGTATATACTAAGTGACATATAAATCCGAACACCCAGTTTAAATGGTTTTATTTTAATAAAAGTTGGTGAATGTATTTATCTTACTGTAAATAACAAGTGAAAAAATTTTCAGCCTTATCAGTTGGACATTCCGGTTTTTATACTGCTTTTTTTTGATTCACTAACCCTCTAAAAATGAATATTTCAGCCGCAGTAAAGAATTAACGTTGGCGGATTTCGGTTCTTGACATCCTTTACGATCGGTTACGATGCCTAGAGTACGGAGACCTGTACGATTTCGTCAACTTAGTGAGTTTGATAGGGGCCGTATAGTGGAACTTCGGGAAGCTGGACATTCTTTTCGGGCAATTGCAGTTAGAGTGCAAAGAAGTGTAGACACTGTGGTTAGGTGTTGTCAGGCATGGCTTCGAGAAGGCCGTACGCAAAGAGCAAGGAGCACTGGACGCCGCCGTAGAACAACAGACCGTGAAGATCGCCGCCTAAGATTATTGGCCTTAAGGGACCGTTTCTCCACTACCAGGTCCATTGCAAATGAATGGTTTGCAGAACAACGAAGACTTATTGGCATGCGAAGTGTTTACCGACGAATGAGAAGTTTTGGCTTGTTTTCATACCGGCCACACTGGGTCCTCCCTGTAACTCGAGAACACCGACGTAATCGCCTTGAGTGGTGCAGACAACGGTCACTCTGGGATCAGGAATGGAACAGTATTGTCTTTAGTGACGAGTCTCGATTTTGTTTAGGCATGCACGATGGTCGTGCCAGGATTAGAAGGCGACGTGGTGAAAGGAGGAATCCACAGTTTTTTGTTGAAACACATGTTCATCACACTGTTGGGGTTATGGTTTGGGGTGCTATAGCTTATGGTTCCAGGTCACCTTTAATCTTCATCAGAGGTAACATGAACGCGCGGCGTTATATTCACGAAGTTCTAGAACCCCATCTTTTACCCTATCTTGACTCCCTGGCAGATCTAGCTTTCCAACAAGATAATGCCCGACCACATGTTGCAAGAGTCACAATAGACTACTTTCAACATAATGATGTCACATTGTTACCATGGCCATCAAGATCTCCCGACTTATCCCCAATTGAGCACGTGTGGGATATGATGGGTAGTACATTGCTCAATTTGCAACGTCCTCTTCAGACTATAGAAGCACTTCGAGAGGAGTTGGTGGTTGCCTGGAATGAGATACCACAGGAGGACATTGACCACCTGATCAGAACCATGCCTAGGCGCGTTGGAGAATGCGTAGCACATCAGGGTGCATCCACACATTATTAAAGGTCAAAGGGGTTTAAAGCAGTCCAACCATTTTGAAATTTTTATCATTTACTTATACAAAATTTTATCAAAATAAAACCATTTAAACCGGGTGTTCGGATTTATATGTCACTTAGTATATAAACACTATAGTAATTAAGCCATTTTATCATTGCAAACATGTTCTCATATACCTCGGTTCATAATGGATAATGGATCTTCTGTTCACGATTGCCTAACCCATGTAAATACTTCTTAATAGAATCTATAATAGATTATGGAAGTGTGATACATATTTGGCTTCATTCAAATAATGCATGTGCAAGTAAAACGACACACTGGCTACGGAATTGTGACTTATAGTTGTTTTATTGGCACAATGTAGTTAGTAAATAATATTAAAAGTGAATCATGGTCGTCAAACAGCAATGAACGACAATAACAGATTAAAAAAAAATCGTTCTGCTGATTAAATGCTTAGATAATCATTAGGAAGTGTCATTAAATGAACTCTGTTACTCAGATGTAAGAATAACGAACAGTGATGCCTAAAGCCCAGCTGAATACCTCGGTGCTCTCTTGTCCGCAGCTAGGTATGGCTGTCAAAAGAGTACGCATCTCGGTAGCCTACTCCACACTACTCAGGATCGTTTGAAAATCTGACAGCAATATATGAAAATGTATCGCAAAGGTTTTAACACTCCTAATAAAAATATTTGGCGTTTGGAGGTGCCATAAGACGAGTACGTACTGATAATTGATACCTGACGACTAAAGCCGTTCATTCACGACATACGTACTTAGAAGACCGGCAGCTCATCATCTACCCGAGTATTCGACGATATGTTATCTCAGAAGCAAGTGCTGTTATTATTGTCTTAAAATGGATAGCTAGTTGCTTAAGCGTCAGAATCTAGAGGGCCAAGATCGGTTCTTCTATCTCAAACACCTTTCTGGAGACCTCGGAGTTTCTCGGGGAAGTATTCTGTGGCCGTTGTTTTCTATAATATATTTAAGCGATATGGAACTTCTTCAGGTAAGCCGACAGTCCATGAATCTATTTACGGATGATACGTTGGTGTATTCATCGTGCAAATATCAGGATCAGAGTATCGATATTGAAAACCATGATCTTACAGGTATTGAGGAATATCTAAAAATAAGCAAATTGAAGCTGGATGCTAAAAAATCAAAAGCAATGGTTATATCAAGTAAAAACAAGAACAAGAAAAGCTAACATCTAAATCAAGGTTGAAAATACAGCTGACAATATAAGATATCTAGGACTAGAGAAAAACATAAATTTTAACATCCATAGCGATGACGTTCAGTGGCAGAATAGCTATTAGGTAAACTTCGCGATAAATAAATAAATACGATTTACTAATTATATTATTATTATGGAAAAGAAAAGTATTTTTCTGTGACGGGAAAAAAAGGTTGACATTTTATCTCTATTGACAGGTAACAATGAGATTATGAAATTACTTTTTTCTCCAGAAAAAAATTAGTAAATTTTTCTCGGATATTGTATAAACACATAAGCAGAGGTAGATATTTAATTTTAGAATACTCTATTATACAATAAAGTTACATTTCCTTTATATCAAAAGTACAATTATTAAATGTGCAACGCATGAATGACACGTTCCTTAAACTGTTCGGTACAACAAACGAATTTTCTTGTGTGGAAATTATATGTTTTTCTGCCGTCACAACTCCCGTTGATGTACTTGGTCGCAAATCCAGCACTGCCACACACTTTATTAGCTATTTCTGTCCTGTGTGCTACCGATTCATCAACATACCCTTCAGCGACCGTTGATGACTTCCAACCGCCATGTTTCTTCAGTGTCATCAAGTCTCTCCCAGATTCAACTAAAAGTGTAGCAGACGATCTTCGAAATGAATGAGTTAGCATTTTCAAGTTGAAGAAAATTAGCCACTGTTTCGGGAACCTTGTAAAACTGGTTTTTACCAGCAACCTGGTCGATACATTTTCCATTGTGATATGCATAAAACAGGCGGCGACCCTTTGCTGCTGCTGGTCGAAGGGCTACGTACACCTATAATTTAACATATTTTTCAGTAACTACAAATCTTCTGTTTACATCATTGTTTGTTTTCTTGAGTTTCACAATTAATAACGTTCCCGAATCTTCAATTCCATCTCACGTTACCTGGCTGATTTCACAAATTCGACAAGCTCTTTCAATCCCAAATACAACAACAACCTTGGCTATTAAATACACTTCACGGGCAACACTATTTAAAAAATCACTAATTTGTGTACTCGTAAAAATCGCAACTTTCTTGGGTTTGTAGCCTTTCCCATTTTTTTCAAAAATGTAATTAGTTTGAAATATTACATTACATTATTATTGGATCATAACATACTTTTAATCATTGAACAATTCGACCACACTGTTGATGGCTTTTGTTGTTGTGGCAATTCCGGAAAATAAGTCAATAACACCGTATCCGACAAAGATCTGCATGTTTTGTTTATCTTCCATTCTATGAATCTTGAATACGCGGTTTCGTAAATTTTCCGCGATTTAGCTGGCTATAATTTTTGTGACGCTACCTTGGCTACTTCTACTAATTCCGGTGGAGTCAAAGAAAACTCGGAATCAGACATTTTTTACTTCATAGTATTAAAAATAACTTCTAAACAACCACTAAGTTCACAATTTTTGAATCAAATCACAAAATTAAATTGACAGCTATTTGATTACTTTAAAAGTTTCCTTAGCAACGCAGGTATAATTGTCGCTATAAGTTCAACATAGCGTACTAATTTCAAAATTCAAATTTTCAATA